ATAGCAGAAAATAGTTAAAAAGAAGCGGAGAGAGATTATATAGCAGATAATAGTTAAAAAGAAGCGGAGAGAGATTAAATAGCAGAAAATAGTTATTAAAAAAAAAAAGAAAAAAGAATGAACAGAAAAGCTTTTCGGCCAGCTTGTGCTCCTTGTACTCCTCATGGGGCTTCTCCCAAGACCACCAAGAAGAAGCAGAAGCATAAGCACAAGCACAAGAAGAAGAAGAAGAAGAAGAAGAAGCACAAACACAAGAAGAAGAAGAAGCACAAGAAGAAGAAGAAGAAGAAGAAGAAGAAGAAGAAGAAGAAGAAGAAGCAGAAGCAGAAGCAGAAGCAGCAGAAGAAAAAGAAGAAGAAGAAGAAGGGTATCGCGGATCGCCTCCTGATGAGACCGGTGCGCAGCCGGTTGAAACATGTAGAGGGAAACGTGCGCGTTTGAGCATGTGACACGTATGAAGTTTCATTGCTGATTCTCAATGAGCGTGTGCAGAAGCAATTGGCCATTGCTTTGTCATCATTCTTCTTCTTCTTCCCTCTCTTCTTCCCCCTTCCTCCTCGTCTTCGGATCATCATTTTTTTTTTCCCTTCGGATCATCAATTAAATATCAGAAAGGAGGAGGAGGAGGAGGAGGAGGAGGAGGAAGGAGACGGAGAGCGGTCATTATGCCTGTATTTGGGGCAACTTTCAGTGTAGATACTACAGCAAAAATGACCGTACGTTCTATTCGGGGGAAGACGGGAGACGGGCAAGGCTGAAAGAGAGAGGGAGGACAAAGAGAGCTAAGAACTACCTTCTTCCGCAGAATACAACGTACGGTCATTATAGCAGTATCTAGACTGAAAGATGCGTCAAATATACAGCTATAATGACCGTACGTTGTATTGGGGGGAAGAAGGTAGGAGAAGCGTAGGGAGAGGGGGGAAACATAGAGAAGGAGAGTGCTGGAAAAGGATAATAGAGGAGCATGATGGCGCTACCTGACGTGGGGGGGGAGGCAGGGGAAAGATGTCATCGTTATTATTTTAAAAATAAAAAAAGAGAAAGAGAAGAAAAAAAAAACATGTAAATCATTAGATGAGAGCGTTATATTTCAGACCCTAGGTACAGGGCCGCCCACGTGTATATACGCATTGCACGTGGGCGGCCATTAAAAAACATGAAAGGGCGACGGGGTTGAGATATTTCTAGCTTTCCACCGCCCCCCCCCCGAAAAAAAAAAAAGATATCATCATTGAACTGACCGGCCCTAAGTAATTTCAGAAGTACGTTATGTATATATATACCGAGTGGGAACTGTGGGATGGTGGGACGATGAGTCAGGTCATTTTCGACGTGAATGAATTTTTGCGAGCGTTGTCGAATC